ACTTCAACTCCCAGAATTCCCTAGCCAGCAAAGCTGGCTAGAGAATTCTGGGAGTTGAAGTCCACACATCTTAAAGTTGCCAAGGTTGAGAAACACTGGTCTATGGTATCCCAGCAACTTCCAGTGATCTCTGCTGTAAAGAACAGACCTTTATTCCTACTGAAGGAAGAAGGGAACCATAGCAGAAATTTTGGGATTCCAAGAGGTCTTAGGAAAAAAACCCTAAGATCATCTAGTTGAAAACTCAAAGTTCTTCACACATGATATTTTGGGTAATCATGTTCAGCAGCTTTGTAACAGGCCACTGTTTTCTTTGTATTACAGATGGCAGTGGAATATGGGAGAGAGAGCTGGAGTTAAAGAAACAGGGATTTGCCTATGGTCATTCAGCAAGACCATCATTGTGAACCGGGTATTTCCTGCCCAACAAGTCACATTCTTAAAGGTACCAAAGGCATGGCATGTTACATATGTCAATCAGAAACAGAAAACACTCCTGCCATTTAGCTCTCTATATGCAATAGAGCGCAAGTGCGCTCTATCAAGGTGCCTTCAGGGCAGGGTGCTTCAGATGGCTGAAGCATGGAAAAAAGTCACCTACTACGGAAGACCAAAGAGAGCTGCTACCCTCAAGGATTTATCACTCATTTGACCTGGGTGAAGTTTCTTCACATCTTGACAAACTGGATGTTAGAAAACAACCAAAACCAGACTCCCCATGAGGTAGTCCAGAGGCAATTTCCATAAATTCTCCATTATATTCTACAGGAAGCTGATGCCTGTCAGCCCATTCCTAACAAAACTGCACTGTACTTAAATCAAATAACCAGGCATTATTGGAAGGGTATTTGGATATACAGAAACCATGGGTTAGCTGACCTGGGGAGAATCCATGTTTGAATGAAATATAACCTGTTTGCAGGCTTGCCCAGCAAATTACTTCTTCTAGTAATCATGATGGATAATAAGCTTAACAACCTATTGGATGAATACTTAGTCTAGTGAAGCACACACAGTCCATTGAAAAGCATAGCTATACAAAAATGCAACATCATGCTAGGGTGGACTAAAACAATGATCTGCTAAAGACTAGGAGAAAATCAAAGTATGACTGATGGATAAAAGTACCAAGGGTCAGGACATAACTTCCATGATCAAGAACTGCCCTGAGAACAGTTAGATCTGTCCCCATACTGTCCTCTAAATTGTAAAAGTATTCCTTAATGATGAAAACAAAAGTCATTATCCCATACTTTTAGGTTATAAAACAGGAGACAAAAAGGAGCTCTGTATGAAGTGTAAAAGGTGTTTGTGAGTGTCTGTGTAGTGTGTAAGAGTTTCTACATTCTATAGCTTATGATTTTGTTTGTTTTGCTATTTCCTTTGTCACCTTTTTTCAGAGACATCTTTCTGGAATCAAGGAGCTACAAGACAACTTTGAGTTAACTATATGGATTGTTTGTTTAGATCACCCCTTGGCTTTTATTAGTTGTGAAAATCATGTTGATCAGCAATGCATAGCTCTGATTGATTGCACTAGAAATGAGAAATGGATTAAAGGAACAACTACAGTCAAACTTTGATTCGATAAATCAGTGCAACTATTGTACTGTTGCCTTCTGTTGTGATTTTGCCCACTGGGGATAAGTTCCTGAGAAGGGAGGAAATAAGTTCTCTCTGTTTTTCCCCTTCCAAGAGGAATTCCAAGTTCCAAATAGGAATTCATCCTTAGGAATCAAACTCTGCTTATCCTTCTCCATATAAACTCTTCCATGCAACCATTCATGTGCACACATTGCCATGGAATTGATACTTGCAAGGCACATTCACAGAAGAATGTGAAACAGTTATGCTAACTAAGGCATGATGATAAATAGCTGTAAGAGTTCACAAAAATAACACAGAAAGGATCTGAGAATTTTTAATCACATGGATCTGAAAAATCAGGTGACAAAGCTTACAAGTGTTATTTCTAGAAGATTAGAGAAAGTGTGGCTGCTTGTACAGGCAATTGTGCATGCTTATACTCCAGAACCATTTTAAATTGTTTTCCAGTTGTAAGGAAAATGGGGAAATGTAAGGATATTTGACTTCCTTCAGTTCTTAAGCTGGCTAGAAAGGTGTTCTTCAGGCTGATCTAAAGGCCTGCAAACTCAGCAGTCCATATAATTGATTACTTTTGTACTGCTCTCTTTTCTGCTTCTTCTGAACATACCATGAGAGCGCAAGGAAATGATGTATCTTATTCAGGAGACAGACAAGTTTTCTGGGAACTACCTATTCATTTGGTTTTTGCTCTCAACATCAAAACAATGTAGCCATCGTAAAAGTGGTATGCATCTACCCAATGAAAAATTACTCAAAATTTCATCAAGATGAAATAATTGCCAGCTGAACTGCCCAAATAAAATGTTGCAACGTTCCATTCCAAGTGGGAAAAATGTAAGCTATTTGCACCACATTCTATCATTGCTAATTAACACTATAAACATTATTTTTTTACCTTTTTTGGTTTTCCCCTTTGTCCCATTTTCTTTCCCCTAACTTGATATTTTATCAAACCAAATGGCTGTTAGGTCATCAAAATGTATGCCATAATATATCTTAGTTTTTAAAGTACCACAAAACTCTTGCTTTTGCCCTGCAGCAGAATAATACTCTTCCAGAATTTATTAACATCCTGTTCATTAAGTCTCATTCATTTACATTCCAAGGCATGAACAGTTCCCAGATTGCAGAAAAGCTTTGTCAAGGTAAAAAAAAAAGTTATAAAGTGCAAGTAAAAATGGGAGGAGGAACCCTGTGGGGTTTTTTTTTTTTTTGCCCAAATTAATTTTCCTCTTACATTCACACTATTTCTCTACATAATGCAAACATACATTGTGATGTCTGCATCAGTAAGAACATTATTCTTTGCCCAATCAACCTTCACACTACAATGTCCTTGTTACTGCCACAAATGCCAGAAAAATGGCACAAGGAAACCTATCCACACCCCCAAACAAAGAACAGAAAGGGGTTTAGGATAAGTCACTACACTATGCCACAAGATTTGAAATAGGGATGATGCTTAAAATCTTCTTTAATTCTTGCTTACAGTTGCTTCAGCAATCTAACACAAACTTCACAAGACAGTTTTGGGATAGAATTCCCAGAACCAAGATCAGGATGCTGAAATCTGGAAATGAAAACCACTGAACTAACTAGTGGAAGAATGCACAAAATGCTGGGAAGAGACCAGAGTAAAACATTCACCTCTCAAGAAGAGTAACCCCGAACAGTACACAGCAGGTAACAGGGACAGTTTCTGTGTTTCGAAAAAGGCTCAAAGCTAATCCTTTTGTCTTGTCTGTCTTGTAAGCACGCGCACCCATTTCTAGCACTAGGGCTGAGAAGTCTTCCATTGTTACAGGCGCAGCCCCACATGGGAGGCTTTGCCTACTCTTCTCCAACCTGGGCTTCTACTGACATGTCAGACTACAAAGCCCAGCATTCCCAGTCAGCATTCGCTAGACCTTTCTTCCAGTGGTGGAAGTTGTAGTCCAGGAGTTTGTCAACGGCACCAGGTGGGGGGGAAGGCCCCTTTGGGCTGCCCCATCAAAGGGCAGCGAGCCACCGTCTTCAATGACAGGGCGGAAGGCGGAGTGTCCTTGTGAAGCAACACCCCAACTCCACCCTGGACCGGGTGCCCTACGCATTGGGCAACACGATCGCCCCGCGAGCGGCCCGTTAGTTCCTCCGACGGGCGCGCTTCAGCCCCTCCATTCCCACCCTCTTCCCACCAGGCTCGGGCAGCCGCTGCTTCAGGTAAAACTTCAGCGCCACCGGAGACCCCCA